GAATGCGATTTGAATACTCGCTGTTTAGCACTTGTGATACATTTTTAAAAGCCGACGAATCGTCACGGGGATCGAGATAACCGATGTTAAGTGGCGATTTTGGCCCTCTTTTGTGCTCGAGATATTAGGGTTTGGCGACATAAAAGAATCGACATAACCGATGAGAAAATGCTAAGACAAAGAGGGAATTTGGCGGTTCCACTTCAAAAACGTCGACTTAATAGGGTTGGCGAGTTAACCGAGGATGAGATAAGTGGGTTCGACTGTATAAATATTTGTCGGCAATAAGGGTCAAGAATGACGTACTGGATTCATGCCAATGTCATAGTTTTTAACGAGTATCAGCCAATACCAGCAAACCACAATGAGAAGACCCACTAACAACAAAGCAAGATAAAAGCAAAATACAGACGCTCCTCTACTTACGAACGGGTTACGTTCCGAATGGCCGTTTCGTAACTTGAAATGTTCTCAAGTCAGTATTCAACATCATTTTAAGGGTATACGCAAGTACAAAGAACTAGGATGCTGGGAGTACGCACGCTACGCTGCTGCGCGGTGGGAGTAGCGGCCAGAATACTAGGCGGAATTGGAGCACAGAAAAAAAAAATGATGTTGCGGACAGGAAATGGGAGCCCAACGAACACAATTTGGACTTAGAGTCCTCTTCGTTCGTATGTCTCAAAGTTCATAAGTTGAAAGTTTGTAAGTAGAGGAGCATCTATAAATGCATTATATTGGTTTTGGTTTTACAAACAAAAGAAAGTATCACCCTTGTTTCCTGTTCCATTAGTAAAGACAACATATCACCAATTTCATATATTCTTGGGGCAAATCCTCATAAGTAATACAATTGCTACATTATTTACTACTTGTGCTTTCACATCTTTTACATGCCAATAAAGCCAGGTAATCTCTTAACAGCTCCACATAAAATCATTCTCAAAATCAAAAACATTGACCTTTCAAGAAGACAGAGTTGTCTTAGCACCCCTGCTTTGACTGTTGTAACCATTTACTTCCCATGATGTTAATGAATACTACAAAGTAAAGGTCCTTCCCCAAATAATCCTGATCTAACAGTGGATTAGACTGTTAAGCCAGTTCACCTTCTTTCTGAGAAGCTTCAGCTTCACAGCCATATCAAAGTCAGAGAATCAGTACAGAGAGTAATGAAGGTCTCACTGCACTTACCGTAATGCGCCTGAAAGGCCTGAGGCTTCACCACCTGACTGCAGTGGCTGCACATCACCAAGTAGAAGTCATCTTGTGCAGGACACTGGCCAAAGATGGGCATGTCTGAGTGAAAGGCAAACAAATAGCATCAAAAACTACTCCCAGAGAAAAACTGCTTGTGAACAAAAGGGGTTAACAGATTTGGCAACATCTCAGCCTGAAACATGGAGCAGACAAGACAGGAAAAAGTTTACCAGCTGAACCAGGACTGCAACACTTTTGTTTTATCGTTGTAGACAGGTGATGGAACAATTTGGAAACATCCTCCTTACATAAATCTAAGCCAATAATCAGACTGTGCTGTTCCAGGTTCCATCAGCCAAGATTAAATAAAAGGAATTAAAAAAGACAGTTATCACAAAAGCTTCGACTTAAATTAAGTAAAAATTATTTTTAAAAATTAAAATTCCAATTAAAAGAAAAACTGCGATCTTGCAGCTGATGCTGCTTGGACCCCTAAAACACAAGAACTGCCGGTCCCCATGCCAATGAATGTCTACCTTCTTTAACCTCCAAGCAAGACGTACGGCAACGTATGCAGCCCTCTGTTGTGCTAATGTGCCATCGGTGTTAATAACAGCAGCGAAATCTAACATTCTTAACCAAAAAGCCGTAATGACCCTAACAGAGTGGCTGCTCTGCCCTGAAATCGTAGAGCTGAAGTGTTTTCAAACGTATGCATTTTATAAAACGTTGAAAAAATAGACGTAGTTTACTGGTGATTTCATGTTCAAAGTTTCTGCTTGTTAACAATTGTATAAAGTAATGTTATTTTTTATATAAATGCGAATTTTAAAATGTTCTTCTTCAGGTTTGCCAGCTCTCACACATCTGGCATGACACTAACGCTTTCAGACTCTCATGCTCAAGTAAATCTTATGGCAAATATACACTGCCCGGCCAAAAAATAAAGTCGCCATTTGAATTTTTTGTTGGACTGCCTTTAGCTTTGATTATGGCACACATTTGTCATGGCATTGTTTCCACAAGCTTATGCAACATCTCATCCTGTATTTTCATCCAGAAAATGCATTACTTTCTCACCAAGATCCAATATTGACAAGTGAGTTGAACCTCCATAAAGCCTCCTTCATCACATCCCAGAGACCTTCAATGAGGTTAAGGTCACAATTTTGTGGTGACCAAGTCATGCATGAAAATGATTCCTCATGCTCCCTGAACCACTCTTTGACAATTCGAACCCAATGAATCTTGGCATTCTTGTCCTGGAATATTCCCATGCCAACAGGGAAGAAAAAAATCCATTGATGATGGACGGAGGTGTAACCTGGCCATTCAGAAGATTCAGGTACTCAGTTGACTTTACTTTATTGGTGTATAACGCTGCTGAGCTGTAATAATGATACAGTCATTGGCTCTTAACTATTTGCTGATATAAATTCAAATGGTGATTTTTTTTGGCCGGGCAATGTATGTGTATATTATATTATTATTATTATATTATGAACTTAAAATTAGCTACATCAAAACCGTTGGGGTACTTTGCAAACCCTACACACTATTTACAAGGTAATAAAACTATTACATATATGTAAATACATGTGTGCAGACTTGAATCGAATTGAAAATCTCAAAGTTAGCAACCCTGCATTTTAGTTGAAATGAAAAGCAAAAAGCACTGTTTGACTGAAGCAACTTGCGTTATTCCGACAAATATAAAATGAATGAGAAAACATAAGTGTCAATTTTTATATCTTTTAGAAATGACCGCCCATCCCCTACAGTAATAGCAATTAAAGTGATCAGTTCATTTGGTATTTATATTAAAAAAGGCTTTATTTTATTACCAGAGTGACATTAAGATTAATTTCACAAGATTAATCAAATCAAAACTAATACTTAAATCAATGACAGTACCACTTTACAATAGGGCTACCCATATAAAGGGTTTATGAATGGTTTATAATCTGGTTATTAATTACGTTGTAACACTTTGTAAATTATTAATAGACAATTTTAAATAAGTTATAACACTGTTTTTTATTATTAATGAGTTACTACTATTAGTATTTACAAGTGGCAAAAGGGAGCCTTATTGTAAAGAGGTGCCTCAATGACTACTAATATATGACAATTTGACAAATACGAGTATTACGGGTTTTACGTCATTTTGAGGGTGATAGCTGTTGTGAGGATTACTGACTGTCCCGTTGTTTTCTTAACACGATGGCCCAACAACAAAAACGAAAGGTGTGATATGCAGAAGTATGTGGTTAAAGGAAGTTACTGCCGAGCTCTGACCATGCAGTAAGTAGGTAATTCACTTATAGCTCAGCAGCAGTATCAATATTTGCATCACAAATGTAACTTTTTCCTTGGGTGTCACGTTTGCTGTTTGTGGGTGTATCTGCAGCCACCTTGGGCCACTTCTGATTGGTGAGCATGATTAGCATATGAGGAGCACGGCACTTCTTATTGGTGAGAATGACTATCACACAAGTAGCATGGCATGAATTTGTAAAACTGTTCTGACAGTTTTTAACCCTCGTTCAAATGTGCTGTACAATGCATATCCCTAAATCGCAGCCTCGATTTGAAATCGATAAATCGTTCAGCCCTAGTAAACATATACCACTAGTGAGTAATGTAGCACCACTACAAATAATGTGGACAAGGTTATAGCCAGCACTGCTCAGACTCATTCCATGCAGTCTAAGACAAGCACAACAAAGGAGTGAAGCCCAACCTCAGCTCCAGACAACCAGCTATGATGTGGAAACCCAACACTGATCTCTGAGGGCCACAGCATGTCAGATCTCACTCAACCTGAGCCATGAATTTTTTATTTGGTCATTATTTAGATACCAAAACACCTCACCCATCTTTTTCAGAGTAATTAAAATGCATTCCATAAAACCTGCAGGACTTCAGTCCACAAGAACAGGTCGTATGAGGTTACCAAGTTTGCCGATTTGAGGTGCACCGGTCGATCAACCAGGCACCGGAATCAGCCGATTTTCAGTTGATCAGTCTCCCGTATTTCTGATACCATACCGGACCGTTTTATGCATGCAACACACGTCATACACCTAACGGCGCAGGAAACAGTGTCACATGTAACATGGAAGGTCTTCACTATGAATGAAGATGACACTAGGCTTGCACTTTGTATGACATGTGAAGCCAAAGTAAACCGTGGGGAATCCCCACAAAAACGTGGTGAAACAGAGGTAAACTTTAAACTGATTATTAAACATGTACTAGATAATCCTGAAAAGAAGAAACCATTAAACTGCAAAGCTACGGTAGCAAAAGGTTTTTTTTTTCCCTATGGCATAGTAAACATGTTTTATTGAAACTTTAACTCCCTGCGCTATAATGTCCATACAGTATGAAGGTTTGAAAAAGCCTAATCTTAATCTTGTTTACTAGTGATGTAATAATTGTATGTGCATGATATGCAATGTTGGTATTAATAACATTACCCTGCACCTATTATTTGGAAGATAGTATAGCACACTTCAGTTTTATTTGAAGGTTTGTAACCCATGAAAAAACCCACCAATAAAGAGAAAATTATCTGATGAATTTAAACATACTAGAAAATTATAAGTAACTGTCATTTGTTTTGTTGTTAAAATCTGTTGCACCTGCTGTTGTTTGGTAAAGTAAAATATGTCGGATAAAGCTGCGTGAACAGTTTTCAGTTAAGTGTTAGTTGTACCTCTGTCCGGTTACAGAGCACTTTATTTTGAGATTGTTTAAGTGAGAGAAGATCCCATAACTTTGTGCAGTTTGGGGGAAAATGTAAAGTTTAATCATTTCTTTTATTAAGAAAATAAAAATTTTCATTGAAGAAAAGCTTATTTTTGTTTATATGCTGTCAAATACAGTTCTTAGAAAGAAAATCAGAGTCGGCAAAAATCGGGATCGGCCGGTCACACAAAAAACCTGGAATCGGCCAAGAAAATTGCAATCGGTGCATCTCTATTGCTGACGGTCGACTCAAAACAATGGACGTTTCCAAAACAAATGGACGGATATTCACAGCACTTCAGCGCATCCCAAGGCCCACGCAATTCTCCATACGGAGCAGCACTGTCAAGGGTTTAAAAATGGTTATGATAGCAGATAAACCAAGGGCTCACCTACAGGGCAATCAGCTACACAGATTTACTCCTGGCAGAAACATAACCATAAATGTTAAATACAAAAACAGAATGCAGGAACACAAGTAGTTATTGAGAAGACCGATGAGCTATACTTCAGCTCCAAGCCTGAAAGGATACAGTGATATAAAGAAAACTTGGGCTAGTTTTCAAACCCACAGCAAACGGGACTGTTTATATTCAGGGGTCTTTGCTCATTTACTTTTAGACATTTTCTCACCTCAGACATTTTTAAATAAGTACAGCAGCCCACAGCCTAAAATTAACAAAGATCATTTCCTGTCCTTAAATATCTCGAAGCACAGCCTTCAGGTGTAAAAACTCGTAAGCCCTCAGTGACCTCTGCTGGAGGGACAAAGAGAGCGGAGGCACAATCGAGGTCTGTTTTTCAGTTTTTGGGGGGGGCGGGGGATTACGCTAAATAATGAAAAAGATACATGAAACTTGAGTGCAACAGCCATTCGGGATTCAATTGTGCGAGGGTGTTCTCACTGGCTAAAAACAGAAACGGACGTGTACAGACCCAACTAGACTGGCCGGTTAGAAGGAGAAGCACACAAAGGCCTCGGTGCCTTAAACCATCCACAGGACAAATAATCTACTCATACTGAAACTGCCAAAATTTCAACACTGTGAGGAACATTCACACAGGCAAACAAACCCTAGATAATTCCAAACTGGACTGATGTGCGTTTCATGCTGTAACCTGCCATTTCCATCAAGGGCAGAAAGGGCTTTTCCCCACAGCTCCTTTGAAGCACTGCTTCGTGAGCACCTTCATAAGGCTGCGTAATCTGCGACTCGACCAGGGACTTAAGGGACGCCGTGGGGATCATGACGTGGTTCACTTTTGAGGATATTCTGCAGAATTTCTGCCACTCGGCAAGATGTCCATCTGGGTTTTTGATAGCCACGTTCACCCAGGCAGGAGCA